AATAACTTTAAACATAAACAGACTAAATGCTCTAATCAAAAGACATCAAATGGCTGAATGGATAAGAAAACATGACCCATATATATGCAATCTACAAGAGACCTACTCAGAACAAGGACTCACACATATTGAAAGTGAAGGGATGGAAAAACATCTTCCAGGCAATTGGAAATGAAAAAAAAGCTGGGGTATCAATACTTATACCTGACAAAATAGACTTCAAAGTGAAGGCCATAACAGGAGATAAGGAAGGCCACTTAATAATACTAAACGGATGGATACAACAAGAGGATATAACCCTGGTGAACATATATGCACAGAATGCAGGTGCACCCAAATACATAAAAAAAACTCCTGGAAGATAGCAAGGGACCAAATGCACAGTCTATTTAAAAATTGATAAATTAGACTTCCTCAAAAAAATTTTAAATGAAATTTAATAAACAACATAAGAAAAATGAAAACATGAGCTATAGAACCAAGAGATAAAATTTGCAAATCTGTTAAAAGATTTATATCCAGAATACATAAAGAACTCTTAAAATTATACAATAAAAAAAACAAATTATCCAATTCAATAATGAATTAAGGGATGAAGAAGATATACTTCACCAAAGAGGATATATGGATAGCAAATGCCTATGCCTTCCAAACTAAAGAGCACCAGGTATGCACCTGTAGTTGAACAAGCTGTGTTCATAGTAAGAGAATATTAGCCCTAGCTGGTTTGGCTCAATGGATAGATCGTCGGTCTGCGGACTGAAGGGTCCTGGGTTCGATTCCAGTCAGGGGCACATGCCCCAGTTGTGGGCTTGATCCCCAGTGGGGGGCATGCAAGGGGCAACCAATCAGTGATTCTCTCTCATCATTGATGTTTCTATATATATCTTCTCCCTTCCTCTCTCTGAAATCAACAAAAATATTTTTTTAGAAAAAGAAAATATTAGAGGATCTAAGTAGGAAGATGTTTAGATTGAGTGCTGTCAGAAAGTAGGGGCAACTCTGTGATTGGGTATCACAATAAATCTCATCTACAGGGAAGGCAGATTTACAACAAAGATAAAGCTGTAATTGGTAAAGAAGTAGTAGTTACTTATGGTACTTGAGTAAAAGGGATATTTGGTATTTTATGGGTCACAGTGACCTTGTTTTTGTCTGTGCTTAGACAAAGTTATGAATTGGCTTTGCTTTGTCTCACTTTGTCATGGTCCCAGAGTGACTGTCAGATATTGGTGTTCCTTGAGGTTATGTCAACAGGAGAATAAAATCACCTAGCTATGAGCACCATGCAAGCTTCTAACAATACTGAGGCCTAACTGTATTAAAACAGTTACTGGATGTCAGAGAATTGCTGTTATTGTTGTTGCTGTTGGTTCCTTTTGTCCAAGGACAGATGACATCAGACCACAGAACTTTACGGTAATCCATGATAACTGGATTTTCACCACGATTTTGCTGATCAAGATCAGAAGAGTATCAATTAAACATAGTCTATAGTTGAAAAAGAGTTAATTGTTTCTTCTCCTTTTGTTGTAGGTGAGTTATTGAACCATCTGACATGATAATGGTTGTGCAGCAGCATTTAAGACTCTGGATAGAATACACCAGACAAAGTCTAATAGGCAATTATTAGAAACAAAATGACTATTGGTCCTTGAAACCAATCTCAAAGCCATGAACCAAAATTCTAAAACCCAGGCAATTAAATCATGTCCCAGAATTCAGCTGGGTCTGTTTTAGACCTAGCTTCTTTTGTTTCTTTTATGCTAGTGACAGACAGTTTTACCCGTCCTGTAGTAATTATATAGATATAACAAGAACTTTTTACTATAGTTCAAATTTTCCATTAGCTAGCCAAGAAGAAACCAAGGGCTATATGACTGTCGATGACAAACCTAGATGATGAATTATACTAGTTTTTTAAATTATTATTACTGTAAGTCAGGATGGTAGTTGTAAATATCTGAAAATCTCTATTACTCCAAATACTCAGAATACGTTAGTGTGCAGTAGTCAGATAAGCCTGACAGCTACATAAGAAGTAGTATCTTAGTGAAGCACAGATTACATAGGGAGTATAAGTGAGTCAATTTTTTTTGTCCAAGTAGGGTTTCTTTGTGGGGGGATGAGTTATATATAAAGTTATTTTAAAATAGCAATGAGGATTTCTATAGGTATTGATATACTAGTAGGTGTCCTAAAGGCTGCAGGCAGTTCAGAGAAGTATTATGGGAAACAAAACAGAAAGAATAAAAATATCCTACTGTATCATGGGGCCAAAAGAAACCTTTCATTGTGATTTTCTTATTAAATATGTACAATAGGTTATAGCTGTTTATCTTATTGTACTTACATTCTACTTTTTTAAAGTCTTACATTTATGTATATTAATGTACCACATGAGCTATAAAATTTAAATATCTGAGAGTTAAAATAAATTGCTATGACACAGAACAGAAATATGGAAAAATATTTTCTTACACATATTTAATTAGTACTAAAATTAAATATTAAATATATTAAAATTAAATATAAACTAATTGCCACTGTTAAGTAGTCCTAAATAATAGCATGTATGTAACATAAAACTCAATAAAACCGAAAAATAATTTTAAATGAATATCTATTTTTATATTAAAACAATAACATACTTGTTTACAATTATTTATTATATATTATGGGTCTTTCATCTAGTACAGCTGTATCCTGGGTTACTCTCTAGAGCAGTTGTTCTCAACCTTGGCTGCACATTAGATCACCTGGGACTCTTTTTAAAATCCTGATTTCTGGACCTCCTCCTCCGGAAATTCTGTTCCTTTGTTACTAATGTGTGGCCCACCCATAACAAAGAAACAGAATTTCCGGAGGATGAGGCCCAGAAATCAGGATTTTAAAAAGATTCCCAGGTGATTCTAATGTGCAGCCAAGGTTGAGAACCACTGCTCTAGAGGTTGGTCATCCCAATGGTTTAGTACCATTTGGGTGGGAGAACACGATATAAAGATAATATTTGTAATTTATGTAGACAAGAAGCTGGTAAATAATAAGGACACATATGTAATACCTTAATCAATAAAAAAAGAAAAAAAGAAGCTGGTAAACAGTGGTGCCTTTTATGAAAAGAGAAATGAGTAGCTAGAACAAGCCAGATAGGTTTTCTTTTTCTTGTCTTTTAATATGTATTTTTTAAATTGTGTAGCCTGTACATATACTACCTATTCAAAAGGGAGAAAAGTATTACTCTTACATAGAGGTTGCCTGCGGTGAGTTGGGAAAGGTGCTAGCAGAGCATAGGTATCAAGGTTCCTACTGGAAACAATGTGCTAAGAATATAAGGTTCTTGGGGAACCTATGCAAAGTTCAAGATGGATGCCTGGGGATGACCAATTCAGACAAGTCCGATGAAGTAAACTCCTGCTTAAAACTGAAGGGCCCATTAATCCCCCAAAATCAGTATGAATTTTTGTGTGAGGAAAGCCATTGGAGGGTTTTAAGGAAAGGAACAGAATTATTCGATTTATGACTAAGATCCCTCTGGCTGTGTGGAGAATGGGGGGCGGGGGGCACGATTTTGGGGACATATTTCTGTAGTCTTGGTGAGGAGGCTGTTGGCTCAGACTATTAGCAAGGTAAGGCTGGATGGAGACACTGATAGACTTTTCGAGGTCACCTTGACAGGACTTGCTACTAGATTGAGTGTGAATTGTGAGGGAAAGATCATAGTATGGCTGACTGCTGGGTCAAAGTGCCTTTTCCTGGGATGGAGAACTCCAGGGCATTAGTGGATTGTGGAGGAGTAAGAAAGAGTTCTCTTTGGAACACTTTAAACCAGAGACGGTTAAGCCATGCACATTTTTCTTAAATCATTCAGACTGTTCCAGACGGTTTAAGCCATGCACATTTTTCTTAAATCATTCAGACTGTTCCGTGGAGAGTGGGGTGGGGAGGGCATCCGAGAGGCAAGCAAGGGCCCTGGGTGGGCTTCAGCAGACACAGAAAGAAAAGTATTCAGGGCCAAGGATCAAGGCTGAAGGGGCTCCAATGAGGAATCCTGCAGGCAGTCAAGGGATTTAGCTTCTCATCAGTATAAAATGGACAATCTTGACGGGGCCCAGAGCTGACCAAGAGCCTGTTGTATGGAGAACAAGGTATAGAACAGAATTGCTAGATTTAGCACATAAAAACACAGAATGCCTTGTTAAATTTGAATTGCTAGGTTCCCTGGAGACCACATGAGGCCGAAAGGGGTAAAGAATTATGAATTTATTGGGTCATCTGGATACCAGATGGGCTGAGCCCCAAAATGGTGCCAGCCCCCAAAGACGGGGAGTCAGGTTTTTAAAGGACTCTAGGTGGGCTTTTTCTGGCCAGAGAATACTCTGTGCAGGTCTGGATTCTGGGAAACTCCTGAGGGGAGAGATAATGGTCTTAGCAAGTGGAATGTGGTCTCAGCAAGTGGAATGTTCATTGTGAAGTGGACCAAAGGTCAGCTCCCAGGGGAGGGGTATTGATTCAATTCTTTGATCAGACCTAACATGAATGTCACATCAGTAACACGTAATTTTGTAGAAGTATAGTCTGGGTGATATTTGAGATATACTTATGCTAAAAATGTAGTTGTTGATCTGCTATTCAAATTTAACCCGTGTTCTGCTTTTGACCTGACAACTCTATCACAGGGCCAGTGGAGGCAGGGCCCCTGCGGGGATTCCAGGGAAACTGAAGGGGCCAAACTGGCAGCAGGGGAGGTGTGAGGAGAGGCCCCAGAAAAGACAAGAGCGGCCTTTTGGGTGCACTTCTGCGGAGAACAACACTGGAAAGAGGAGCTTCTCAGCTCTTCCAAGTGTTGGCCGGGGGGTTCCCGAGGAAGTTTTGCCCGCACCTTCCGAGCCAATAGGCTCCCCATCCTCCTCCTCGGGGATGGGGAGCTGCTGGGAGGAGGCGGCCTGCAGGGCGTCGCGGTAACCCCGCCTTCCGCACCCCCCGCGGGTGGAGCCTGAGCGAGGAGCTCCCAAGCAGCCTTCTCTCCCCGGATGACGAACGGCGGGAAAACATGGAGTCGGGCAAGATGGCGCCTGGCAAGAACGCTCCGAGAGACGCCTTGGTGAGTGCGAGAGATGAGAGGCGGGGCGCAAAGCTCGGCACAGCCAGGAACCTGGGAGGCAGGCGCAGGCGTAGGCCTGAGAATGGTCTTGCGTGCTGGCTTCAGCCCAACTTGGGCGGCCCGGAAGGAATGGGATGGGGGTTCTGGCTCCGGGGCGTCCTCCCGCCATCCGGGGGCCCCGCCGGAGCGCGCAGGCCAGCAGCCGGGCTTTGTCTCCGGGACCTCGGTCCTCGCCACCTCTTCGTCTCAGCTGCAAGTGTAATGTGCTCGTACTCTGGCGTCCAGAGTTCTGGTGTTAGCTAGCCTCCCCCATCGCCACATCCGAAAATGACAACCAGCTGTAGCCACCCCTGCCTCCGCTGGGAAAACCAAACCCGGCCTTCTTCTCTCTTTGCACCCCACCTCCCCGCCCAAATGAAAGTTTTCTGCAAAGAGGGTGCTACAGCATTTGGTGTGTTCCTGACACTCACTTGTGAAGAAAAGGAGGAGTACAAGTTTGGAGCCCAGAGAACAGGGACCTTGTATCATAAGTACAGATATTACCTTGGGTCCAGTCTTGATTTCTAATACCTAGATTATGCATCCGGTGTTTCTTATTTGAATCCACAGGTGATGGCACAGATCCTGAAGGATATGGGAATTACGGAGTACGAACCAAGAGTTATAAACCAAATGTTGGAATTTGCTTTCCGTAAGTTAATAAAACACCAAAAATTTGCATACTTTGTGAATTTGAAAAGATTGTTTTATTTTAAGAACATTTTCAACTAAATTACTTTTAACAGTTAACATCATAGAATTCAGCTTAAAGCAGTAAAGAGAGCTCAAGATAAGGGGAAATGGTATTGATACTGAGATATATTTTTAATTGATCATAGAGATAGAACAATTAGATATTAAAAACAAAATGCATAAACTAATTCAGAAATCAATGGAATCTTCGATTAAGAAAAGTGGCCATAAATATTAAGCTAGTCTCATGTTTAAGAAAATAATGTTTTGTTCTTAAAGGATATGTAACTACAATTCTGGACGATGCAAAAATTTATTCGAGCCATGCTAAGAAACCTAATGTTGATGCAGATGATGTGAGACTGGCAATCCAGTGTCGTGCTGATCAATCTTTTACCTCTCCTCCCCCAAGAGATGTGAGCAAACGTTTATTTAAAGTTAATTCGACTTACAATTTTTTCGTTGTAGTTATAATAAGGTTTTTTGGTTTTGTTTTTGTTTTTTTAGTTTTTACTGGATATCGCAAGGCAGAAAAATCAAACCCCTTTACCTCTGATTAAGCCATATGCAGGACCCAGACTGCCACCTGACAGATACTGCTTAATATCTCCAAACTATAGGCTGAAGTCCTTAATGAAAAAGGTAAAAACTTTTGGTCAATTTAGCTTTTTAAAAAGTTGAGATATATTAGGGGAATTTGTAAAAAGCAAGTAGTTAGTACAGTAGATTAAAAGCTAAGATAATTTAATTTACTAGGATTGTTTTTTAATTTGCCGCTTTGAAAATACCATGTCTACAGTTACCTGCTATGTTAAAAAAACAAAATATAACATCTAAGATTTTTAGAGCTAAAAGGAGCTTCAGTGTTCATCTAACCCAACACTCATATTTCACATCAGGAAAGTGATCCTAAACTTACCTATGTAGTTAGTAGCAAAGCTAGGACTGATATTCAGGTCTCATAATTCCCAATCGTTCCACTTTACCATAGTTTTTTAGTGAAGCCTGATAATACACCATCAGGAATTGAACTTGCTTTCTGAAATATGACCTAAGGCTCTCCCACCACTGAAAAAGTTCTCCTCACATTGGGCTGCTTTTGATGTCTGAAATTCCACTATACTAGTAAGAGTTTATTTTGGGAGGCTTAGATGTTGACTAGTTAAGATAAGATTAAAAATTATAAGGAAGTTAGCTGTTATCCCCAAATAAGACTCTACCTTAAACCAAATACGATATAATTATATATTTACTTATATACATACTCATATCCATTTATGAAAACCCTAGTTTTAATGTTAAATTTAGAACACTAATAGAACAAAAACAAGACATTCTTGCCATGGATTATCCATTAATAATTCACATCAACAATCCTAATTTCATTCCTGGTAAGTTTAAGTGTCAAATGTGAACAACATTAAAACTAATTTGTTAAACCCTTAGGGACCTAACCCAGGAAGACTACTTCCACGGTTAAGTGTTGGTGCTGTTAATAGCAGACCTACCACTCCTACTATAGGTAAGTGAGAAGGGAAATGCCTTTTCTAGGTGGTAAAGAAGTGCCTCAGCACTTGATTTTGAGCTATAATCCAAATCAAAAGGTGAGTCAGAAATTCCCATATGTGTGTTACCATCATTACATTTACTCATCCTCTAGTAAAGCTATAGACATATATTTTATCAGATTTCAAAATGAGAAAGCCATAAAGAATATCTGATCCCAAATGAGTATAAATGTGGACATTACCCAACCTTGTGGTTAGTATAAACTATAATACCAATAGTTTAAGCTGTGTTCTTTCTGCCTCCTATACAAATGAAGTTGCCAAATACACTCATGGCAGTAGCCAATTTATTATCAGAAATTAAAGAAATTTCTGAATAAATTGACAACAGAATGCAGTCAAAAGAAAGTTTTAAAATGTACAAAAAGTTTAAGGATATCAAAGGGAAAAAATTCTGTTTTAATACTAACCACTTCAAAAGTAGCACTGATTGTCCTATACCAGGGGTGGGGAATGTCCAGCCCATGGGCCGTATAAGGCCCAAGAAATCATTTGGTGTGGCCCTGCCAAGGCATTAGGAGTGAGTTAATTAAATGTCTGTCCAAATACAGCAGGCTGATTTGTTTGTTTGTTTGTTTGTTAATCCTTGCCCAAGGATATTTTTTCATTGATTTTTAGAAAGAGTGGAAGGGGACAGAGAGAGGAAAAAACATGGATGTGAGAGACACACATCGACTGGTTGCCTCCTGCAGGATGGTGAGGTATATGCACTTGACCAGAAATTAACCTGGGACCCTTTAGTCCATGGACTGATGCTCTATCCACTGAGCCAAACCGGTTAGGGCAACAGGCTGATTTTTAAGTTGATAATTTTGTATGGCCCAAGATCTCTTTCTACTTAAAAAAAATCTGAATATAAAAAAGAAATATATTTTTTGCCAACCTGAGGACCCCAAAGGGTATATTTGATAGGCTTTTTAAAATATATATTTATTTTATTGATTTTTTACACAGAGGAAAGGAGAGGGATAGAGAGTTAGAAACATCAATGAGAGAGAAACATCTATCAGCTGCTTCCTGCACACCCCCTATTGGGGATATGCCCGCAACCAAGGTACATGCCCTTGATCGGAATCGAACCTGGGACCCTTCAGTCCGCAGGCCGACACTCTATCCACTGAGCCAAACCGGTTAGGGCTGATAAGCTTTTTGTTAGATGTGTGTGATTTAACTTCATGGGCATAATAGACATCTTCTAGTTCTCAGCAAGTGACAAAAATTAAAAGTGCCATGTAGGGTAATTAATAGAAAACGTGGGTCATTATTCGGCTAGCTTATTTAAACACTCAATTTTATGACTTCCTGTCACTAAAATTCCATGCCAGTCGCTGTTTGAAGAGCTTTATGTGGATTATTTTGTTTTAATTCTCACAGAATCCTATTAAATAGGTACTGTTGTCCCCATTTGATGGATGAGAAAAGAAAGGTACAAAAAGATTAAATAACTTGCCCAAGCATACTCAGCTAATAGGTGATAAAAGCCTGGATTCAAACACAAGCAGGTAGGCTCCAGAACCTACATTTTTTACCACTGCACTATCCTGAAGTTTTAGCATCTACTAGTAAACTATTGAGCTTGTAAACACTTTTGAAGTTACTTCACTCTAATTTCTAATGATTTTTTTCTCACCTTTTATTACTTCCCTATGCTTTGAAAGTAGTTTCTGGTAAGGTAAGGAGGGCAGAATATGAACCTTTATAAGTCATCTAACTAACATAGTCTGTTAATTACAACTACAGCAACCCCACAAACAGTGTCTGTTACAAATAAAGTTGCACCTCCAGTATCAGTGACAAGCCAAAGATTTACGGTACAGATTCCACCTTCTCAGTCCACACCTGTCAAACCAGGTAACGTCATGGGTGGGGAAGGGGGGTGGTGGTGTAAGTGGTTCTTTTAAAATATTTTTTTCTGAATTTAAAATTTCTGAATAATTTGTGACTATAGAACAGTTTGTGTTCCTATAGCAAGAGTTAAATTGTTTAAATAACATAAGAAGGTGGCAGTAATGCTGCAAATCTTCAGAGGGGGTCTATGAGCCCACTAAAATTACAATATATGAAATTTTAAGTATATATAACATTTTGGGGTTAGGAAGAGTATTCACTGTGACCATCAGATTCTCAAAAAACAATGCGAACTAAAATAAGTTAGGGCCCACAAATCTAAGGCAGCTTCAGGAGAAAGCACTTGGGGTTCAAGCTCAAGAAAATTATACAACTGAATGTACATCAAAAGAAAAGTGTACCTTTACTCACTTCATGGAAGGAGACATATAAAATTGGAATAATATAAGTAGAATTCTGTTATAGTTTGTTAATGCACATGTTTAGATTCACATCTTAAACTTAACCACACACAATAAACTATGTATATAAAATATTAGCCTATGAGGGAAGCAAGATTCTTACGTTGAACATATAGAGTGTGTACCATGATGAATCCAGTGCACTGCTTCCCATGACTAAGTACTAAGTAAAGTTTTAGGTAGTTAAAAGTTCAAAAAAAAACTAACATAAAACCTTTAACTTTATACTAGATACTAATTTAAGTATTTAAAATTTAATTCAGCCTGGCCGGTATGGCTCAGTGGTTGAGCATTGCACATGCCCAGGTTGTGGGCTCGATCCTCAGTAGGGGGCGTACAGAAGGCAGCCAATCAATGATTCTCATCATTAATGTTTCTCTCTCTCTCCCTTCCTCTCTGAAATTAATAAAAATATATTTAAAATAAATCAAATTTAATTCAACTTTTAATGCAGCATAATTATAATTACCTGAGTTTCTTCTATGATGTAGTTGCACTTAATCCTATGGAAATTATTAGAATTACACTCAACTCTGTTGAATACTTTTTACCATTTGTTTCTGATCCTGGGTAATTCATAGTTTGGGGATGTTTTCTCCTCTGTTTACAGTTCCTGCAACAACTGCAGTTCAGAATGTTCTGATTAATCCTTCAATGATTGGACCAAAAAATATTCTTATTACCGCCAACATGGTTTCATCACAGAACACGGCCAATGAATCAAACCCATTGAAGAGAAAACATGAAGATGATGATGACAGTGATACTCTGTAAGGAAATAATCTAGATGCATTTCAGATGCATAGTTGGTTTTGAGCCCAATATACTGAACTAGAACATTCTAGATCTTCTCAAGTTTTATCTTGGAAAACAAAGACAGCTGCAATATTTTTCATATTTATGTGAACTGTTAGATTTAAGTAAGGCTGCCAATGTTTTTTCATTAGGCTTCAAGTAGAAAAAGTTAAGCAATTATTTAATAGTTTCATTAATGTTGAGTCCTACAATTCTGTTTTGGGAAGCAGTTTTCTGCCATGTATCACTGACAATAGCACTTAAGTTTCAGTTTCTGCGGCCTGATCAGTGTGAACTAATCTTTACATCATAATTTCTAATCTACATTCAAGTACTACTTTCTTTTGTAAGTTAAAAAAGTCACTTTTATTGTCACCAACTTTTATAAAGAATTCTCTCAACTTAGTAAATACTTTGGAGAGGATGTATTTAAGATTCTAAATCCAGTTTTGAATGTATTTGTTTCTTGGTTTTCCTTAACCTCCTACCTCCTCAACCCCATTTCTAGATCCCATTTGTTTTTCTGCACCATCTTCTCCCCATAGGCTTAAGTTTCTCCCTATTGCTCTTAAATTTAAAAGGCCAAAACTGGAATTTTAAAAATATCATTCCTAATAATACACCTTAGTATCATTTTCATATATTTAAAACCTGTTTTATATGCCTGCTGTTCTACAGTTCACTTTAACCTGGATGTTTCCACTTGCTTTTCTCTCTATACCAGAGCAATCTGTTATCCCTTGCATTTTATGCCCATTGAGCTTTACTCTCTTTTTGATAAGTAGTTTACATTCAGTTTCAGTCTTATATTCCAAGTTGATAACTCCACCATATTTCACATTTCTAAATTTAACATAGAAGATGCTATAGCTTAAAATCTGCGTTGATAAGTATATTTACACTGGACCTAGGCAAAACCACTGAAGAGCAAGTATTTTACCACATGCATACATGCTTTGATCACTACTGCTTGAACCTTCCTCCTATTGGTATAATTCAGATCATTTTTCTAGTTTGTTGCTGAGGATGTCACACTTAAGATGGTATCACACTTGAAAGTTTTCTAATGGTTTTCCTTCCTGTAGAAGGCCAATAACAAATTAGTGTGATGTGAACTGCACTTAGATACACTCTGCTTAGATTTTCCCAGTAATGTTACTAAACACCTTTCCCTTTTTATACACATCTAAATACCTTATTGGGTAAGATTGCTAAGTTTTCAAAAATATAAACAGGTTTGTACAGTTTCTGTTTAAGTAAGTTTGACATATTCAACATATGATTACTTTTACAGAATTTCCTGTAATGAATTTTCATATTTGAGGATTTTCAAAATTTAAAACACAAAGTTTTATCTTAGGATGCCACTTGATAAAGAATTACTCCAGTAACAGGGAAGAAATGTCTTATTTTGAGTGTTTTTGGATGTTAGGAAAAGGTGGTATCAAACTTATAAAAACAGATCTGATGAACATCATAGGAGAGAAATGTTCACTATATATAGCATAGAAAATCATTACTTGAATGTTCTCAGGGAGGCAGCATGTCAAAAGGCCTAAGTTGTAGTACTGGCTCCATCCTTTACCAACTGTGTGACCTTACTTTACCTTTGAGCCATGTTCTCTTCACTACTAACAAGAAAATAACACCGACCCTGCCTACCTCACAGGGATGTTGTGAGGGTTAATTGATATATGTGAAAGTTCTTTCAAAATTGTAAAATGTTATATAACTAATGAATTGTTAATGTATTTGTTCCAAGATTATTAATAAAAAAATGTATCATTTATCTTTCTTTTTTGATTTAAGAGCATCATCCTATACACCAAAAGATTGCAGGTTTTGATTCCAGGTCAGGGCACATACCCGGGTTGCAGGTTCTATCCCTGGTCGGGGCAAGTCAGGGGACAACCAGTTGATGTTTCTCTCTCACATCAACGTTTCTCTTTCTCTCTAAAATGGATAAATGCATACCCTTGGGTGAGGATTTTTTAAAAAAGACTCAAGGAAGATGAACAAGGCCCAGTAATTCTGAGGCTCAAAAAGCAATTAAGATTTAATGGATGAGTTCATTCTAAATCAGGGAACTGTTTGCTTTTATTTAGAATCAGCATATGACTCTAGTGAAGCAAAATAAAAATGAAAGAATAGAGGTTTAAATCTGTTAAAAAACATTACATGCTCTGTCTTTGGTGGGAATTCATACATGTAATTGAATGTTCATTCACTTACTAGGTCAGCCAGTGGGTGGATTGCTCTTTGAGGTGACGACCACTTTATCTTGCAGATCATCCTTCCCTAACTACCTCCACCAAATCTAGCTTCAAGAATAACTTAAGGCAGCTCTTGTCCTCCAGCTTCTAGGTGGATTTTTTAAGAGGTACTGATGGTAATTGGGGTGAGGACATTGATGTCCCAAGTTCATTCTTTCACAAATAGGAAACAAGTGTCTTTTATCGGAGTATGAATATTGGAATACAGCCAGCATGTGGGAGAATGGAAGATAAAACGCACACTGTGGTCTAAGAAGTCCAGAGTGCAGGGAAGTAAGTACTCAAAAGGTAAGGAAGAAAACACTAATCAGAAGAGTAAGTACAAAGTCATGTGTATAATATGCCACCATATATATTTTAATAGATTTATATGTATATGCACACATAGATATGCTTTTTATATGCATTAAATAGCTCCACATTGAAGGAAACCAGTCTTAGAGTGGTTATTTCTAAGGAGGGAAACTGGCAGCTAGGGAACTTGGGTAGAAAGGAGTCTCATTCTGTACCTCTTTTTATGTCCTATAGGGAAGGTTTGGTCATAAAAAAGGAAAAGAAGGGGAGCAGAAAACACTGAGCCAAAGGGATTGAATTAGTTTTTGACGTGAAGAGTATAATCTCATCTGTATACAGGCATGCATATATTGTCTAGGCTTTGAAAGTGAATATGCTACACTTGAGCCTAAACACTTGCCATGATTTATCAGTAATACCTAATTCTATATTAAATCAGGAAGCACATCCTTGCACTATTCCAGTTTATATGCTCATAAATTGTCCTCAAGGAGTTGTAAACTCCTTCAGGACAAATGTTATCTTACATTCCCTCCATTATGTCCTAAGCATAAAGCAGGTACTCAAATATTTGCATTTCCTCATTCACTCTGGGTTAATGACCCAAATAAATGGGGGGAAATCCTGGAAGCAGAGTTTATTAGAAAGTACTTAAAAGGTACAGTCAGGTTGATGGATGGATAAATTGGCAGTTATAGAGTCTAAGTGCTAGGTTTATGGGTTTTTACAATTTTTTCAATTCCTATGTACATTTGAAATAATAAAATATTAGGGGAAAAGCAATCAGAGTGGGGGGAGGGGCGCAGAGTCATCAGTATGCTAAAATTCTGGCCCAGCTGTGACACTAATTTGCTGGATTTATGGATAGCATGTCTGGGTCTCATCTTCAAAAAGATTAGGCTAGAATTTCTGCTTTTCAATCCAAGGTACAGCATACCATTAGAGTTATGCAGAAACATGGTGCATTTTAAAATTAATTACAACTATAGGGACAATATTAATTAAAATACAAATGTATTTTTAAGAAAAAAATTGAGCCATAAAATTTTTATTTTGTTTAAAAAAAATCACCAAAATTTTCTTTTGCTGTTTTCTCCAAAAGTTAAACAAAAAAGTGCTAGTCTAGGAGCATTATTTCAGGGAGGCACAATAAGAAGCACCAGCCATTAGACAAATCTGGACCTGACTACCTGCTGTTATTTACTAGCTCTGTGATCCTGTCCAAAAGGTCAAGTACTTCTCTATCCATAAAGGTGAAATAGATATTTAGTATGCAAAATGCCCAGCAGAGAAATTCTGGTTAAACATGGACTTTTGAAATTTCATGTATGCCAAAACCGGTTTGGCTCAGTGGATAGAGCGTCGGCTTGCGGACTGAAAGGTCCCAGGTTCGATTCCGGTCAAGGGCATGTACCTGGGTTGCGGGCACATCCCCAGTAGGAGATGTGCAGGAGGCAGCTGATCGATGTTTCTCTCTCATCGATGTTTCTAACTCTCTATCTCTCTCCCTTCCTCTCTGTAAAAAATCAATAAAATATATTAAAAAAAAAAAAGAAAAAAATTTCATGTTTACCTCTGCTCACTCCAGAAACCCCATTAAAATGACAGGAAAGGAAAAGGAAGGTAAAATTACTTAAACAATAATCAGAATGTCACTAGAATCGCCTCTTGATCTTTTGGCTAAGAAAGATCAAGTGCAGAATGATTTTCAGCAATGACAATGAAACAAAGTCTTCAAATCCGAGAAACTGATATATAAGCTGAAATTCTATAGTCAAACAGGCAAGTTTGAATAAAGATATTTTCTGATATATAAGGTCTTCAAAATGTTGCCTCCCAGGCACTCTTTCTCAGGAAGCTAGTTGGAGTCTTGTGTTTCATAAGAGTAAACCAAGAAAGAGGGGAGAAAGGGAATACAGGAAAGGGGAGATCCAACGCAGGTGAAAAGAATCCCCGAGAGCGTTACCGAAAGGGCAGCCAGGACAAACTGGAATAGGAGCACAGAGAACTCCTCCAACAAGGCCATCTCTAATAAGGTGTTATGTTATGGTTTTTTTCAGGGGAACATTTATTTTAATTTAAAAAAGTAAATAGAAAATACATGAAAACTTAAGCAACTGGATCTAGGTTGCTTTTTTAAATATGTAAACAAATCTTAAGACTTAGTTGATTTTTGTTACAATAAAAACATAAGACTTTGTTCAATAAACACAAATACATAAAAGGTGAGATCAAAAGATATGAGAATGACAGTATGGCATATCAAAACTTCTGAGATTGCCCTAACCGGTTTGGCTCAGTGGATAGAGCGTCAGCCTGCAGACTGAAGGGTCCCAGGTTTGATTCTGGTCAAAGGCATGTACCTTGGTTGCAGGCAGATCCCCAGTAGGGAGTGTGAAGGAGGCAGCTGATCAATGTTTCTCTCTCATCGATGTTTCTAACTCTCTATCCCTCTCCCTTCCTCTCTGTAAAAAAATCAATAAAATATATTTTAAAAAACCTGAGATGCAGTGAAAGCAATAATAAAGAGGAAAGTTTATATCTTTACAGGACTATCTCAAGAAATAAGAGAAACTGCAAATAAACAACCTAGCATTACATCTTTTTTTTTTAAAAATATATTTTATTGATTTTCCACAGAGAGGAAGGGAGAGCGATAGAGAGTTAGAAACATCGATGAGAGAGAAACATCGATCAGCTGCCTCCTGCACATCTCCTACTGGGGGATGTGCCCGCAACCCAGGTACATGCCCTTGACCGGAATCGAACCTGGGACCCTTCAGTCCGCAGGCCGACGCTCTATCCACTGAGCCAAACCAGCTTTCGGCAGCATTACATCTTAAAGAACTACAAAAAGAAGAATACAAGTAACCCCAAGTCAGCAAAAGAAAGGAAATAATAAAAATTAGAGAAGAATTGAATGAAATAGAGAACAAAAAGACTATACAAAAAATTAATACAACAAAGAGCTGGTTCTTTGAAAAGATTAATAAAATTAGGGGGAGAGATCAACCAAAGGATTTGTATGTATGCATATAAGCCTAACCAATGAACACAGACAACAGGGGGTGAGGGCATGAGTGGGGGGTGGGGGGCAATAGGGCGATAAGGACACATGTAATACCTTAATCAATAAAGAAATTTAAAAAAATTAAATTGACAAAATCCTGCCTAGACTAAGGATAAAAAAAAACATGACTCAAATAAACAAAATCAGAAATGAAAGAAGTTACCACAGACATCACAGATATACAAAGGATCATACTAGAATACTATGAAAGACTACAGGCCACCAAATTCAATAACCTAGAACAGTGGTCGGCAAACTCATTAGTTAACAGAGCCAAATATCAACAGTACAACGATTGAAATTTCTTCTGAGAGCCAAATTTTTTAAACTTAAACTATATAGGTAGGTACATTGCTATTCACTTAATTAGGGTACTCCTAAGCTTCCCTTTGCTAAAAACGTCCTCAATCTGAGGGGTCGACCTCAGCAAACATACCCCCACTTCTTCTAACGCCACTTCTTCAAAATAGACTCGCCCAAGCCGAAAACCAACTTCTGCGCATGGGCCACGAAGTTTCAATTGCACTGTACATGCACGCCCGCACGTGGTATTTTGTGGAAGAGCCACACTCAAGGGGCCAAAGAGCCGCATGTGGTTTGCGAGCCGCAGTTTGCCAACCACTGACCTAGAAGAAATGGGCAAGTTCCTAGAAAAATATAAGCTCCCTAGACTGAACCATAAAGTGAGGAAAATGAAACAACCATCAAAAACCTCCCAAAAATAAAAGTCCAAGACCAGATAGATGGCTTCATGAGTGAATTCTACCAAACATTCAAAGAAGATTTGAAATCTATTCTTCTCAAACTCTTTCCAAGAAGTTAAAGAAGAGTCAATACTTCCTAACACATTTTTTAAGGCCATTATAACTCTGGTACCAAAACCTGGCAATAATATCTCTGATGAATACAGATGCAAAAATCCTAAACAAAATACAAGCAAATCAAATACAATAGTACATTTTAAAAATAATACATCATAATCAAGTGGGTTCATTCCAAGGGCACAAGAATGTTTCAACATACATAAACACCACATTAAACAAAGGATAAAAATCATGATCTTAATAGATGCAAAAAAAGCATTTGATAAGATACATCCATGTATGATTAAAAATCTCAATAAAATAGGAATAGAAGGAAAGTACCTCAACA